TAGATAATTAATTTTTTCCCTCCAGTTTCTTTTCCTTTTAGGATTTTCCTGGGGAACTGCTTAAACCTTCAGTTCAAACTCCATGTACATGTAACCTCAGGCTTTTATGCTGAATAATCAATGTCTGCTCTTTTCTCACGACTGCTTTGTAAGTGCGCATATTAAACCAAACACTGACTATTTGCTGTCTAGTTGATTACAAGCGTGTGTTTGTCAGAGGAGAACTGTGCTCTCTGGGGTCCAAGGAGCACTTTTGTCAAAAGAGATTGCCAGGGCTTTCTTCCGAGAAACTTGTCGGTGGACTCGCACGTCCCAGTTTTCATTTTTAACACTCTCAGGTGTCAATTGTTTCTAGATCAAAATATTAACTTTCCTTGAGTTGATTCTGACTCATATTGACTCTCTGTAGGAATTCTCAGGCTGTCAATCTTTAGGCCAGTGGGCAACCTCCCTCATTCTCTTGCCCACTTTCAGACAAGGGCTTTCTAATTATAAAATTAGGCCATTTGCCTTCAAAATCCTCTCCACTTTCATTCTGCATCCTTTGCTTATCTCCTGTGTGCTTCTTCTCTTCTTCGAGTATTTCTTTAGGATTTCTTTAAAGTATCTATTGTGTATTGAGAAAACACCTTAAAAACACATGCCTGCGTCTGTCTAGCATGTTTCTTCTTGCAAATCATTTACAAAGAAACTCATCAAACTTTATGGAAAAAAAAGACTTCATCTTAGATAAAGAAGCAAATTGAAAGAAATTTTAAATCAAGGAAAATGTATGCGCAAAAATCACCCAGGGATCTTGTTAAACTGTAGATATTCTGTATCATTATACTGGGGTGGAAATACAAATTCTCAGCAAGAGGTCAAAGTAGAGTGAACGGGTTCAAAGTCCTAGCAAAAGCAGATGGATTCATTGTTTAGCTTTGTTTCAGTGTAAGAAGGCCTCTTTGCTATAGGCAAAGTACCCTAGGCTTTGAGTCAAAATAATTAGCTTCTAATTGGACATAATTTTACCAGGAACTTGCTATGTGAATTTTGCCAGCTATTTGTTCTTTACAGTTTCAAAGTGACTTATTTATGTTGTTGGATGCCATTGAGTTGATTTCGACTCATGGAAACCCTAGGTGTCATATGTGTGATAGAGTTGACTGTGCTCTCTAGGATTTTTTGGTTGTAATCATGACCGAAGTGGATTACCAGGCTTATCTTCACAGTGTTACGGAGTTGTTTCAACAAGCCACCAGTCTTTGGGCTAGCAGACAACATATAGTTGGATAAAATAAAGACTAGATAATATCTTATTCATTTATATAAAATATTAGTAGAAACACTAATATCTCTGATGTCAGGCTAGCCACTGACATTTCCCCTAATACAGTGCTTTTTCATTTTCAAAGACGTTTTCATAAACATTTCCTTTGATCCCAGGGTTGTAATAGTTCTCAGCCTTGGTTATGTATTCTTATCCCTTGGGAGTTGATATGCGAAAATGATTATAAAAACCAAAATTAATTATGTCTGCGCTCCATCTCAGACTGACTAAATCAACATCTCTGGCGATGGAACTTGGGGGCTGGTGATTTTTTTTTCCAGGTTCCTTACCTGATTCTAATGTGCAGTCAAGATTGAGAATACTGACTATTTTGAAACCAGATGTCCCAATTTCTTTAATGGGTAAAATAGGGCGCATGGTAGTTAATTTTCTTGTCAACGAATGTAAGGGGTAGATTATGCAATCTATATTGCTGAGCAAATAATCTAAGAACCTGGACTGCATGAAGAATAATACAACATCAAGTCTGGAGAAAGACTTACAAAGAACCAGATAACACAACCTTGCTTGCTGAAAATAAAGAGTACTTGAAGCATTTACTGATGAAGATCAAAGGCTACAGTATAAAGCAAAGCCTTCCGTAGAGATTACATTTCAATGTAAAGAAAACAAACCCCCTCCCACTGGACTAATAAGCAATATTGAAGTTGTCAAGGATTTCATTTTACAAGACTTGACAATCAATGGCTATGAAAGCAGCAGTCAAATGATGGATTACATTGGACAAACCTGCTGCAAAAGACCTCTGTAAAGTGTTAAAGAACAAAAATATCACTTTAAAGACTAAGGTATACCTGACCCATGCCATAGTATTTTCAATTGCCTCATATATATGTAAAATCTGGACAATGAATAAGAACAACTGGAAAATCATTGATGCACTTGAGTGATGGCATTGACGAAGCATATTGAAAGTCCCATCAGTTGCCAGAACCATGATCAAATCTACTTTGGAAGGAGCACAGCCAGAATGTTTCCTAGAAATCAGGAAGGGAAGCTTTGTCTCAGATACTTTGTACATCTTATCAGGAGAGGCCAGTCCTTGGAGAAGGACATCATGCTGGTCTACGGAGATGTTTGCAAAATAAGAGGGAGACCCTTAATAAAATGGATTGATTTAGTAGCTGCAAAGTGGCCTTGAACATAAGAATGACTGTGAGGCTATCACAGGACTGCTTTACATAGGGTTGCTCTGAGTGAGGACCACTTGAAGGCACCTTGCAACAACAATATCACTTCACTGGCTTTTCTCCGGAAGCACCTGCTTCTCTACTATGTTGAGACCTTGAGAAAGTAGCTTCTTCAAGAATTTCAGTTTTTATCTACAAAAGGCTAAGAATGGACTCCCCAAAGACATTTCACCCCTAGAGAGCACATTATCATTTTGTATGGAAAGAACTTACCATAGTATTTCTTAAACTCACGCCATTGAGTCAATTCTGGTTTATGACCCTACAGGACAGGGTAGAATTGCCCCAGTGAGTTTCCAGGACTGTAACTCGTGATGGGTGTAGAAAGCCTGGTCTTTTTCCCATGGAGCTAGCTGGCTGGTTGTTTTTAACTGCTGGCCTTGTTATTAGCAGCCCAAGCATAACCACAATTAGGATAAATTCAGTAGATTTTTGACATTTTTACAGTGAAAGGCATCCATACCCACTTCTATAAGACTTTACTGACTGTCAGAGTGTTACTGTTGGTTACATAATCTGAATCAAGGTATGCATTATTTAAGAAGAAACATCAGCTGATTTTGACTTCTTAAATATCTGCCGTACCCCACTGGTGACATCTAGTTAATACTGTGAATTCTTGGAATCTGAATGCAAAGAAAATGAAATGATTTATATTTCCACTTTCACATCTTTGGCAATTCTGGACAGGGGCTTGTCCCAATTCCAGAGTCAGGCTAACTCTATAATGAGGCTTCTTTGATCATTAAAAATGATAAGAACAATAATGCCCATTGCTATAGAGTTGATTCTGACTCACGGATATCGTATAGGATGGAGTAGACCCCCGGTGGTGCTGTGGGCTAGGCATTGGGCTGCTAACCACAAGGTGAGTTCAAACCCACCAGCTTCCTAGCAGGGTAAAGCTGAGGTAGGCTGCTCCTGTGAAGATTAGTCTTGACGACTCCAAAGAGCGTTACTATGAGGTGGAAGCATCTCCAGGGTATCATCATTGCTGTTCATGTTTGGTAATTCTTTCTTTCTACATGCAAGCTGGTGTCAAGTGCTTCTCCACCGAGACCCCTAGAGGCTTTGCTGTTATTGGATGCCATCCTGCTGATCTTGACTCACAGTGACTCTGTGTTATGGGGTTGATCTGCCCCATAGGGTTTTCTCGCCTGTAATCTCTACAGGAGCAGACTGCCAGGTCTTTCCTCCATGAAGCCACTGCTGGGGTATAAACCACTAACCAGAGCTTTTTAGTGCTGGGAGTACATTTCTATTGGGAACTACATGTGAGTGAGAACGATGCCTGGAACTTCATATAAGCCTGCTAGTTTATTTCCCTTCTCCTAGGACTTCTCTAGCATGCCCGATATGCCGATGTTAGAGTTTATTCATTAATTTTGCACCTCTCTCCCTGAGTTAGTTAGTTTATTGTGCCAACCTGGCCGATAAACACATGTGGGGTTAATTGAAGGGCGGAGGGAGAAATGGCTCAGTGAGCTTCAAGTTTTGAGTTTTCTCAAGTCTTTTGCTTTGTGATGGTCGCACCAGGGTGCAGCTACCTTAGCAGTTCCCTGCTTCAGCTTGCAAGGCTGACTTCCTGCAAGACATCCCCAAGGAGAAGCCACATGGACCTACCCCAGTGCAGCCCTGGGTGCTGGAGCAGCCGTGCTTGTACATTCACTGACTCAGCTTTCTTTCTGCAGTCGGCGTCATTGCGTCTGCTTTGCGAGATGGAGGAAGACTTTCTAGATTGGTGTTGGACATATGGGTTAAGGGGTTAATGTTGGACTTGCGGACTTGGGCAGCACTGGGTTGGGATGTTTTCTTAATGCTCACTTTGCCTTTATATAAAACTCTCTCTTATGCATGAGTTTCTGTGGATTTGTTTCTCTAAAGTACCCAGACGAATACACTCCCCTATTAAAATATTAAGCTCCTTGGCATAGGGAACACTTGAAGCTCGCCTTAATCAACAACCTCTAAATGTCAACAAGTGCCAGATCCTTCATGGAAAGTCTATCTTGCTTGAGGGGGAAAGGGCTATTAGGAAAGAATAAGGGTCGTATCTTCTGAGGACTAAAGTTGTCTACTTATTAGACCAACCTAGGCTTGGTTCTGGCTAGGACTCTGTCCACAACATAAATATCCTGGGATTCCAGTTAGGGAATTTCTGAGAGACCTTCCCTGTGAGCTACCCAGCTCTTCTGGGATCTATGACAGCTGCAAGTCAAAGCTTGCTCTAGACGTGATGAGAACAGTGTCCTTGGGCAACCCAATATCATCCTTTGTCTTTTGTTCCCTCTGCGATGGAGATGAATCACTCACAGTGATCGAATTCAGCTCAAAGGGCTTTTTGGAAGGCTGTTTGTCAGTGAGACAGTGGTTGACATTAAAAACCTACTGGATTCAGGCTCATAAATAGGGCTAACAATTTTTAGAGCTCCAGCTCCAGAAATGGCACAAAAATGGAATGGACAACAATGAAAAGTACGTAATGGATCCACAGTGATTTAATTCTCGGTGATATTTTCATTTTATGTAAATACAAAACAAAACAAAAACAACAACAAAAAACCCCCAACAACCAACCCCTCCTCCCCCCAAATTCCTATTTGAAATAAAAACAGGAACCAAAATATATTGAATGTTTGATTCAAGCAAAAATCCTTTCACATATCTTCCAAGATAGTTAAAACAAATATAGATGTTAAATAAAAGGCCCACGTACCAAAGAGCAAAATTTAATGAAAGCCAGAACTGTTAAGTATGGATTCCTGTTGAGAAAAATGTCAATCTCTTTCAGAGTTTTCCCATTGCTCTATTTTTAAGAAAAGTGTAGTAAAAATACATAATACAGTTAACTTTTTTTTCTTGCATTCGTTTTCCCTTTCACGCCTCCATTGAGGAAAAACATCTTTTACTGGAGGCTTAGACCCTCACATAGCATAGACCCTCATTTTTAGCAAAGGCAGTCTCTCTCTGTCAGATCATGCCACTGGCAGGCTCCGTGGCTGGAGAGGCATCTTACCAGGCTAAAGGCAAAAGGTCTTTGAAGCATATTGATCGTAGAAGGTTGTTTCCAACTCCTACAGAACACAGACTCTCTACTGCTGGGGCATGTCAGATTCTGCAGTGGGAGGCTAAGGACTGAGAAAAATCTGTTACCGGTGCAAGAGTAGGAGTGGGAATGGGGCATCAGCTGGTAGTAGTGAAAGCGAAAATCCATCTTGAAGGTTCTGGTTTATGTACCATGCCCACGCTGACATGTGAGAGACTGAGTAGCAACACTTGTGTTGAACAGTGGGAAGAGTTTGATTTGGGGCTGGTTCTTTGCTGTGGCTGATGGAAGGAGAATGAGGAAGACACAGAATGGTGGGGATCCACTGAGAGAATCCACAGATGAAGCCAATCATGCTGCACCTAGGTAGGTTCCAAAACCTTTAGCTTGCCAATTGCGAATGATAACCCCTAGCCGAGAAGTCTGGTTAGAAGTAGGGGGTCAGAGAACAAGCCAGAATGTGGTTATCAATCAAAGCTAATGACACAGGGACCACACTGACTCGTGCACCGAGGAGAGTGGCTGCTGGAGAACTGGAAGCCAATGGCTCCAAGAATGAGAGTTGGAATCTCCGAGAAAGCTGTGCACCAGGCACCCCACACAGCCTCCCCAAACATAGTCGCAGTCAGCCTGGTTTTCTCTCCAGGAACCCTGTCACTTCTCCAATCTTACTTTTGTTCAGCTTTAGACACCATTTCAGGAGTATCGATTCTGGTCATTAGAATACAATGTTTAGCCAAGTTGAAGATCAGCCTTCTTGGGGTAGAAGTCAGGGTTGGGAATCTTAAGGTCTCCCCCAATGTCATTATTAATCCTGTTTGCTTTCGAGTAATCCTGCTTTCGGTGCTAGATTGTCATCTGGCCACATGCTAAATTAACACTTTAACTTGACATTAAAAAACCTCCAAGTTGTCTGTGTCAGCAAAACGCTCAGCTTCCTATTTGATCTCTCAAACAGAGGACAGGGCACAAGATGGAAGGCTCTATTGCTTGTGGGCTTCGATGAGGCTTCCTCTTCCAGCATTGTTTCATCACCTTCCTTTTGCGCTAGCACAGCATTCCCCCCACGTCGGAGGTTCTGCAGAGTAAGACAGTCTACTTACTGCACAACAGGGTTCCCTGCTTAGTTGTTACGCAAAGGAAAAGCAAGAATTGTGGGTGATGCCTTCCTGGCTTTTAGTGGACCTCAAGGCTCCACTTGGTCCAGGAAGCAAACTGCTTTTCAGCTCCCAGGGTGCCTTTGGACCTCAGCCTTGCAGAAGGACACATTACTCTGGTTGTGTGTTGACACAACTTGAGCTTGACACTGAAGGACCATAGAGTTCCATCAAAGACCCTGGGAAGTCTCTAAACACATGAAAGGAAGCTTTTCTGAGCTTCCAGCAGTCACTTCAGAAGTCCACCTTTGATTGCCTGTTTGCCCTTCCGGAACCTCCTTCTGGGCTGCTTTGAATAAGCAGCCTCTCCCAGAGCAGTGTTTAGGGGAAGGCACCCCATTCCTCCAACAACAATGGCTAGCTCCATCCACGGCCTGGGGCTAAGAAGTAGAGGGTAAGTTGGAGAGCCCTCTAGGCAGATTAGTTTCAAGGTTGCATTTTCCCCCCTTTGCTTGCTTGGGAGGTGGAAGGAATCTTGATTCTCACACCTGAAAACTGAAGCGGTCTGGGTAGAGGGTTGAGAGAAAGTAAGGAGGGGGCAAAAGGGGCCTAACAGAACCTGCAAACCGTGGATATTCGTAAGGAAAAGAACATTGCATATTAAGACACATTAACTGCCGAATTAGTAAAACACGATGCAGTGTCCTCATTCGGGTTCCAGGGGCTCTGTTTTCAGAGACACGGACTTCTTAGACAAGGTTACTCTCCCCTGATTCCAGTACACAGTGTTATCTGCCATCCTTTCTTAGCAAACAAAAAAAGGCGAGAGAACATCAAAGGAAAAGGGACAGCGAAACGGTTTTTAAATTCTTCTGGAAAACCGGTTGAATTGTCCTCCTTGTGGTTGTCGTGGTTGGTGGCGGTTGTACTTCATTTTGTTGTTGTTTTTGGCACTGAAGGGTTTGGGACTGGGCGGAGGAGCCTGGACCTGCTCCCCAGGGGGTATCCGTCTGCTCCAGTTATAATCCCGTGGCTCCTAAGGGCATCCCTGAACTGTGGCTCATGCAGGGAATCGATTGCATGGACTTGGGGAAGTCGTGGCTGACCACCCGGCCATTCTCTCCACTGCCGCTGCCGCTGGCTCCTGCCCCGCTGTTCCGGGGGAGGGTCGACGTCCGTATGGCTTCGTTGATGGATTGCTGTGGGATCAAGCAGAAACCCTTTTCAGGAGAACCGGGGGTTCTTCCCCAGGTCCTTAGTAAGAACTGGCAAGGAGCAGGGGTCAAAACTGGACCTGCAATGTCAACCCAGCTCTCCTCTCCATCCAACTCCTTTCCTAACCTGGAATATCAACCTTGACTTCCCATGAACCCATGAAACTGTTCTGTGCCTCTGACTTAGTCTGATGCCATCTCTGGGTCTCGGGTTCTCTCTCTTGACAGGGGTGTGCTGGAGTGAGGGATCTCTAGATCTTTTCTGGTACTTACTTTCCGCCACGTCTAAAGGTGGAACAATATCACAGTAGTGTGACCCTACACATTTCTCCTCCTTTTTCTAGGGCCAAACCCCAAACAAACCAGTTACCAGAGTTGAGTCCATTTTGGCTCCTGGTCATGCCATGTGCGTGAGAGGAGAACTTTTATCTAGAGGGCTGTCAATGGCTGCGACCTTTCAGAAGTCGATCACGGGCCTTTCTTCCAAGGAGTTTCTGGCTAAATTTAACCACTAACCTTTTGTTTAGTTGTCAAGAGCTTAACTTTTTCTACCAGCCAGGGACTCCCTTATCTCTGTAGACCTTTCTTAATTGCCACGTCTGTAAAATACTATGGTCTGTGCACCTGTAGGTTGAAGGATGCGGTATGAAAATGTTGTGATTTTTTTAAAAAAATGAGGTTATATTGCCATAGGGTTAAATTAAAAAAATAGATTTACTTCAGGAAAAATGCCATTTGACCTCTAGTAGAATATGCTGAGGAAATGCATGACTCCTTTGAATAATTGAAGAGGCAGATGTAACTGGAAAGGGACATTTTCTATCTAATCTTTCCTGTAGGCCAACACCTCAGACCAGTAGTACTAAGATGATATCTCTCAACCAAACTCACACTCCCTGCCATGGGGGCAATTGACTCACAGCGACCTTATGAACAGTGGTTATGCTAAGTTCAAGGCTAGCAGTTCGAAACTACCAGCCACTCCTCAGGAAAAAGATGAGGCTTTCTACTCCCATAAAGAGTTAAAGTTTCCGAAACCCACAGAAACAGTTCTACTTGTTCTGTAGGGTCGCTATGACCGCACTTTGTAGCCTGATGGAATTCTCAGGCAGACAGGGCTTCAAAAGGGCACTCTGGGTTCAGATGAGTTTAAGTGGAATGTTTAAGACTACCAACTGGAAGAGGAACCAGATCTCATTAGAAAAAAGGGAAGGTCTGTTTTTAGTACCTTTGGAGAAAGAAACGTTATCACTTCTGTTCGTATTCACCAATAACTTTCCATGAAGACACAATCATGGGATTTTTGATTTGAGATTTGATGTAGAGCAACTCAAGCAACCTGTTTCTTGATACGAACCCACACGGCGAGGAGAATTACCTGTAGGCTGGAAGGTTTCTTTCTAGAAAGCCGCCCCTACCCAGCCCTTAAAGCTCATTGTGTCTCACCCCCTTTCAGAAGCCTTTCCAGGCTACACCAATTTACTGCAAATACTGGCTCCTCGTTCCTACTGTTCACCGTGCATCATTACCCCTTCTCTTGGAACGGTTCTGCTTGAGTACGGTAAGTTTTATCCTTAAGACAAAACTCACTGTCCGGAGAAAGGCAAGCATTGTTTCCCAGAGTAACTAGCATACAAATAGATGCTTAATAAATATTCCTGAATTTGATCTAAGGAAAAACTACCATCTAAAATGCTTCTTAAAAAACATATCACTTCCTTCCTTTCATAATGCCATGATTCTAGAGAGCAGAGGAGTCAGTCAACTTGATGTGGCCAGACAGACAAATAGCAGGGTAGCTTTGACCCAGCTTTTGCTCTTTCGGCTATAATTTTCTGGGAGTATCTTCTTACTGCCAATGCTGACAGTGTTTTCAAATTTTACTTCAATTTAAAACACATGAATCAGATGGTTATGCCTCATGTGATCCTCCACCTACATTGTTCTGTCTCCTTCCAAGACTTACAGACTTGATTTCTCAAAAATGGGTCTTGCTTGCCTTCTACTGAAGAGCATGCAAGACACAGACTGCATTCTGTTAAGTTCAAAGTCAAATAAATATCTGTAGGTGATGCTATCCAGAGAGCATGTGAATATGAACACATGAGGAATTGAGGGTTACCCATTCTCATCATTACTTCATTTTTTTTGGTAGGAGGTGAGAAGTATTAGAATGTCTACAGATTAGCTTGAAATGTCTATCACCTATGGATTTTTCCTCCTCTGCTACATTGTTCTAATGGAAAAAAAAATAAGTGAAAATTCACACAGACCACCTTGAGTTCTTACATTTCTATAATATGCCATAGAAGTTGCTGGTATTTGATGAATCTATCATAAAGGAGAAGATGGGTGGTAGAATCAACACTGGCACAAGAGTCTGAGATAACTTAGCTGGGAATGTTAACTAAAAATCTTCAAAGCTACACCATTAGAATTGGCTTTCAGGGATGCTGAGCGCCTTCCCGAGGTCAAAGACTCCATAGCGCTATTAATAATAGGTCCTAACTGCTTACAGGCTCACTTCCTATTATGATTTTATAAACAGTTACTTACGCAGCTTCTACACCAAAGACACAAAATTCAAGGGCAAGAAATGATTGCAAAAAGTTTAATTCACACTTTTTTTTGGACACCACATTCACTACTTTCCAGAAGTGAAGGGGCAACATAAAGGCCTGCTCCTTCCTTTTCCTTTTAGGGAACCTCAGGAAAAGAGACGAATCGTCAAAAGTTTGGAGCAGGAAGTCATGCTGAAAATCCACTCCAAGAAACCTATGAGAGCCGAGCTCAAAGGGACTGCCTTGTTTTTCTAGGTCTGCTATGTTTTCAACCTTGGACCCAGTCCAGCCTTCCCACATTTCCATCACTCATTTTTGTGGGAAATACTGGAATTGTTCGTTGGTCAGATTTCTGATGGAGGCTCTGACTTTTGCAAGTTTTCCTGTGTGTGGTTCCCTGGATCTCCATCTCGGTCGGATGCTGGAATCACCCCGAGTGTGTGGAGAGTGAAGTGCTGATGCCTGAGTTCTGCCTCAGAGATAGTGACTCCATTGGAGATGTGGACTGGCCACGTGATTCTAACACATAAACGAGGCTGAAAAACTCTAACCCAGCTTCCTTTACAAGGACTCTGAGGACTTCCAACGGACGTGCTTAAGAGAACAGGTCCAGGTAACCTAGTGGCAAAGTTGTGTGAGTCCTGTAGCTATGCTGCCATCAACTGATGCTCAAGGTGATGTCATCCCTCCCCTTGCCTTTCAGAAGGAGTTTCTCAGCGTCCACCCTTGACAGACCAGTCACTTTATAGTTCATCTTGTCTTGCTTGTCATTGTTATTTCTAAAGCGGATACACAGATTTGGGGTCGGGCTGGAGATGAGTGAAACATCCAACCCAAAACTGGGTCTTTGGAGATGTATTTCTCCAACAATGATGGCATTCTAGCTTTTCAATTACCAGCCCTTCTGAAGACCCAAAGCCCAAACCTCTCTTGCTACCCTCTGCTTGTCATGGAACACCCGGATAAAATGAACAAAGCCTCAGATCTCAGTAATGACCTCATCCCTGCACATGGGCTGGGAGCCAACCTGCTGACCACCTGCTGTGGATCAGGCGCCCCTCTGTATTACCAAGTCTCTCAGATGCTGCTAATTCCAGGGAAATATGCAAGGCTTCCATCGCTGTTGCTTAAATACAGCCATGTACTCACAGTCACTTATAATTATGAAAGGGCAGTGGTTCTCTTGGGGGTGGAAGAGACTGGTGACGACTTTCCTTTGAGAATAAGGTGGTGAATAATAGAGGCCCTTGCTCCTTAAACATCGGCTAAGGATTCTAGTTCCCAGGGAACTGGAGCTTTTATTCAATTTAGAATATGTCTTAGGGTACATATTTCTCATACCATATGGAAGTTTGATTCATATTCAGTTGGTAAGGTCTGCCTGAAGTCCTTCTCTCACCCCCATGATTCTCATAGTCTACCTCTTTCAGTCTTTCTGTCTCTCAGGCTCCCCAGTCTTCTTCCATTTCTGAGCAAGGGTTATAGTGTTTGTGTCTCAAACACTTGTGGATCCTTTGCTAGCAAATCTTAACCCTTGGTTAATTCCTCTCCATGCTTCAAGCCTTTTAAATATCT